CCTCAGTCTCTCGAGTAGCTGAGATTACAGGCAGACACCACCACGCCCAGCTAATTTTTGTATTATTCGTAGAGACTGGGTTTCGCCATGTTGGCCAGGCTGGTCTCGAACTCCTAACCTCAAATGATCCGCCTGCCTCAGCCTCCCAAAGTGCTGAGATTACAGGTGTGAGCCACTGCGCCCAGTCTACTGTTATTTCTGTTGGACATGTGGAAAACAGACACCAAAGGTCAAATGATCACATGCCACACACTTCCCAGGGCCAGGGGCCCAAGCTGCTAGACAAAGCCTCTGACCCCCTCTAGTGCTGGAAACCTGCCAGAGCTGCCTCCTGCAGCAGGTCCTGCCACCAATGAGCTCCTTGGTGGCCTCTAAATTCTATCAGGAAGCTCAGGCTTTCTCTGAGCTCTCTCAATTCTTACTGCCACTGAGCTGAGGTTCAGAGAGGTTAGGGAACCGGCTTGAGGGCTGACAGAACCGGTTGGGGCACAGCCAGGATTTGAAACTTAGTCCCCAGGCCGAGCACAGAGGCTCACGCCTGTAATCCCAGCACTTTGGGGGGCTGAGGCAGGCAAATCACCTGAGGTCAGGAGTTCAAGACCAGCCTGGCCAATATGGTGAAACCCCGTCTCTACTAAAAATACAAACATTAGCCAGGCATGGTGGCAGGCGCCTGTAATCCCAGTTACTCAGGAGGCTGAAGCAGGAGAAACGCTTGAACTCAGGAGGCGGAGGTTGCAGTGAGCGGAGATCGTGCCATCGCACTCCAGCCTAGGTGACAAGAAACTCCATCTCAAAAAGAAAAAAAAAAGTTAGTCCCCAAAGCCCCTGTGTTTTTTCTCCACTCCAACTCCAGGTGAGGCTTCCTGGCAGAGGCTGTGTCTGCGAGCCAGCCAAGCATAGACACAGGGGTCCCCTGCATGTGAAGGCCTAAAAGCTGGAAGAACTGCCTGATTTCAGGAACAGAAGATGGCCCATGAGTTACATACAGTGGGGGCACTGCCAGTTCCCAAAACAAACTTGGACACAGAAAAGGGCTTGAACCTGGCTGGCCCCAGAGGGGCTGGGAACTTGGCAAGTTCCAGGTGGCCACAGTGGTGGCCAGCCTCACATGGGGGCCTATTCCAGACACATGGACACAGTCAGGGACCTGGGTGGACTCAGGACAGGGGATGAAGCCCACCTGTTCCAGCAGCAGCAGTGGCGGCAACCTCAGTTCCCACCCATCAGAGGCCTGGAATGTTCCCCACACTAACTCACCCCTGGAACCACCTGTCAGCAGGGAACACTGTTCGTCACCCTTTTCAGAGCTGAGAATGAGACTCTTACAAGGCCTAGAAAGTTCCCAGGATGGAAGTCTAGTGAATGGGCCCAGACGGCCACCTCTAGACCCTGGACGAGCAACAGCAGGCCCCACTCTCTTGGCTGACCCCGTATGATGCAGAGGGAGGAGGAGCAGAAGCCACATCTATAGTGTGCTGGCCCTCAGGTGATCCTGGAAAGCAAGGCTTGGAAGATGTATCCAGCCCCACCTGCAGAGGCCATCTGGAGTCAAGCCCTGGCACGGCACTGGGGATGAGAACGTGGCCAGAGCTTTGAATAAATGTAGCCAACGAGGCTGGCCAGGGAAGGCCCTACAATCATCACTGTCCCCAAACCCACAAGACAGGGGCCCAGGAGGGTGCTGGCAGGATGGTGAGTCAGGGCAGGGTCCCCCAAGTGCTTTGCACCGGTGAAGACAGGAGGGTCAGGAGTCTGACTCACCTCCCCAGACTCACACCCAGAGGACCCAGATCCTTCGAAAGCAACTCCCAACTAGAAACTGAGACCAATGGTGGGGTCACGGCATACAGCACTACTGCTGGGCCCAGCACATGCGAGTATTTTATGTGCCATGACCTCATTACTTCTCACACCCCCATTTTGCAGATGGGGAAGCCAAGGGTAGAAAGGTCATTGCTTGCTCAATCGCATACAGCTCGTAAAAGGAAGCACCAGTGCCCAAACTCTGCCTGAATTTACTCTAGAGCCAGTACAAAGAGGAGTAAATCTGGACTTCATTTTTAAAATGAATGAGATGACTATGCAGATAAACAGGAAGTCCTGTCCCCAGGGAGGTCCCACCACATGAGATTCTGGCTTCTCTGAGTGATCTTGGGCTGTCCCCCCTCCAGCCATGAGCCTCAGTCTCCTGTCTGCAAAAGGAGGGGTGGGACCTGGAATGGGTGCCGTGTAGGCACAAGTCTGTGACAAGAGCTGTCTCCATGCCCTTTGACCTCCAGCCAGTGGCTCTGGGCTTCGGTGTTGAGCCCAACAGCTTCAGTGATATGAGGGTCTTTATACCCAGCCCAATTTCACAAACAGTAAAGAGCTGGATACACTCATTTCAGATAAGAAGACTGAGGCTCAGAGAGATATGGTGACTTACTCCAGGTCACACAGCAAATGAGGAACAGACTGGGGATCTGAACGTGGACTGGACCCCAAATCTCTTTTTTTGTGATTTTCTTTTTCTTTTCTCCACTCCAACTCCAGGTGAGGCTTCCTGGCAGAGGCTGTGTCTGGGAGCCGGCTGAGCATAGATGCAGGAATCCCCAGCATCTTTTTCTTTCCTCCTTTTTTTTGAGACAGAGTCTCGGCCGGGCATGGTAACTCACGCCTGTAATCCCAGCACTTTGGGAGGTCAAGGCGGGTGGATTACCTGAGGTTGGGAGTTCGAGACCAGCCTGACTAACATGGAGAAACCCCACCTCTATTAACAAAAAAAAAGAAAATAGGCAAAGTCTCACTTTGTCACCCAGACTGGAGTACAATGGCACGATCTCAGCTCACTGCAACCTCAGCCTCCCAGGTTCAAGACATTCTCCTGCCTCAGCCTCCTGAGTAACTGGGATTACAGCATGCACCACTGCGCCCAGCTAATTTTTACATTTTTAGTAGAGACGGGGTTTCACCATGTTGGTTAGGCTGGTCTTGAACTCCTAACCTCAAGTGATCTGCCTGCCTTGGCCTCCCAAAGTGATGGGATTACAGGTGTGAGCCACCTCCCGGGCCTCCTTTTTGTTTGAGACATGGTCTCACTCTGACACCCACGGTGGAGTGCAGTCGTGCAATCTTGGCTCACTGTAGCCTCAACCTCCATGGCTCAGGTGATTCTCCCACCTCAGCCTCCTGAGTAGCTGGGATTACAGGCGTATGCCACCATGCCCAGCTGCTTCTTTTGTATTTTTCTTATAGAGATGAGGTCTCACCATGTTGCCCAGGTTGGTCTAGAGCTCCCAGACTCAAGCAATCCACCTGCCTTGGCTTCCCAAAGTGCTGGTATTATAGGAGTGGGCCACCATGCCCAGTCACCCCAGCCTTTTTCGATCCTGCTGTTAAGTCTGCTGCACATGTCTGTGCATGTCACAGTCCCTGTTTACTTGACTAGCCTTCAGTGAACATCTACTGTGGGCAAGCCACGTGTGCTGGGCACTGGCAGATACCACCTAATGCCTGCATCCCGGGAGTAGCTCAGGGTTGCAGAGAAAACCTTTAAACCAGCAGCACTGCACACTCTCCTCTCTCCGAGCTCCAGGGTGTCCACAGGGAAGCGTCATCTACTAAACACTCAGCAATGAACCGTACATCTTGCTGGCACCTTAACGTTTACAAAACACGTTCCCATCTGTCATTTCATCTGAGTCAGGCAGCATTACCACAAACTTTACAGATGGGGACACTGAGGCACAGAGGAGTCCCATGACCTTCCCACAGCCACACAAAGCCAGGTCTAGAATGCAGAGCTAGACGTGTAATACGTCACCTTCAGACGCTCTCACTCATGTAGAGAAGCACAAAGGCTGCTTCTGCTAGTTTTCTAGAGCGGACTTCGGAGGCCAACTTGACCATCTGTGCCTCAGTTTCCTGATGTGTGGAACAAATAATCTGGAACTATCTCTAGGGGCTGCAGAAAGTACCTGCAAGGAAGTGCCCGGAGAACGCCCTGTCTCCTTCCCTGTCCCCATAGAGGGTTCCTTAACAGCAGATCTCACACTCCAAGGGCCCCTAACCATGGGCTAACAGAAACCCCAAAGTTCAGAACTAATGGACACAACATACAGACTTGGTGTCCTCTGTACTGGACAGAGCTGATTTCATTTTCCAAGGAAGGTAACCAAGGTACAGAGGTGCATCTAGCCTGCTTCTGAGGGTGCAGGGACAGGAATGAGGACAGATCCGAGAGGGGCTGGCCACCTCACTTCAGCAACTCCAAGCCTCCACTCCCTAATCCACAATCACCAACACGAAATACCTTCCCTTCGGACCAACAATCACAAAGGAAGGGCCAGGGCTCACGACCGTACCCCTCCAAAGTAGCACTGAAAGGCACAAGCCTCATTTCTCCCAGGCCAAGGAGAGGACTGAGAGTTCAGCGATTTGTTTAAAATGCAACATCACAGCAAACTCATATTTTCAACGGGAAGCACATCCGGAGGGAAAGAGCGAGAGAGAGCTCTCTAATGAGGAGACCCCCCCTACCCTGCCCCCGAGGTTACAGGGGAGCCTGCGTCATCCCAAAGCCTGCCTGGGCTGGGTTCCAGGAGGCCAGGCCACAGGGAGGGGGCCTGGCTGGGGGTCCAGCAGCAACCCAGGCCTCTTTTATCTACCAATATCCTTCTCCCCGGAGACAAGGGAGAGGATGCGAACCCCACCCAGGTTTCCCCACACCTAGCTGGGGACCCAGCTGACTGGGGACACTGAGGCACAGAGGAACTGCACGAGTCCTGCAGAAATTGGAGCTAAAAGTACCCTCCTGTGGCCGGCCTGGCCTGTGAGAGGAGGAGCCCCCAGCCTGCCTCTCGGCAACCTGCTGCTTCCTTCACCATCTGGGATGGCCCTGGGCGGATCACGCCACTGGGGCCACATTCTGACTTCAGATCCCAAAATCCTAGGGTCTTTCCTCCTCTTGGTCCCCTGAGCTGGCCCCAGGGGCTCCAGCTGGCGCAAGGTACACTTACCCAGGTAGATGTCTCCAAATGACCCGCTGCCGATCTTCCGTCCCAGGCGGTACTTATTCCCCACACGCAGCTCCATGGCTTACTCTTGCTGCGGAGGAAGCAGGAACACGAGGGTCAGAGACGTGCGGAGCCAGGCAAGGGGTCCAGCCCACCACAGCCAGGCAGAGCCACCAGGAACTTGGAAGACCCCCATTCTCCCTATTGTCCAGGGAGAGATTTGGCTTCGCTTTGCCTGAGGACACCCAGGTGTCAGGTGGGCCACAGCCCGCACCCCACACACCCAGGGAACAGCCAAGGCAGACTAAGAACAGGTTTCAGGGTAGCCAGAGACAAGCAGGCGTGTCTTTGAGGGATGCTCATTCAGGGGTCCTTCAATGGAAACTTCTCAAAGAATCACAATGGGCATTGGCCCTTTTATACCCCTGAAATGACAGGGCCCCTCCACTCCTAACCCCAAGCTCCCACAGCCTGGCCTGGTCTTCCCAAGTACTGCCCCTGCCCAGAGGCCAGACCTCACCAGTGCCCAGCATGCTACTGAAGGGAAGGCAGGAAAGAAACACCCTAGATCGTCCACCTTCCAGCTACCTCCCCATCTCCACGTCGTGACACCAAGAACCTCACAGGGAGACCCATAGCTTCTTGGATAAACTGTTTGGAGCTGGCGTCCTTCAACACTAGGAGGAGGATCTCCTAAGAGGGCCCTATAGAACAACAGAGGGAACTGAGCCAGGGTTTTAGCCCCCAGTCCCCAAGGGGTAGGAGGGGATCTGACGTGAGTAGCGTCTCTCCTTCCTCAGGGCCAGGGCAACCCTAGGAGGGACTCCGCTGCTCTGGCCTGGGACAATAGTCTGGACACCCTGTTCCTGGTCAACAGAGGAGGAAACTCGAAGGCCTGGAGGCAGTGCTGGCACGGGACAGGGACCAGGGACTCCGCAAGAAGCAGAGGAGCAGTGTTTACAAGAGGACCAGCATCAAGGACTAGCAAGAGGGAACTCCTTTCGCAGACAGGGAACTCAGGCCTACAGAGGCCACACCATGTGCCCCACACCACCCTGCAGACGGTAGCAGTCTCGCCTAGGATAGGGCTCCGGCTGTCCCACCTGGCGGTCTCCCACACTCACAAACGGGGGCAAAACAGGAAGACAGCAGAGCAGCTGTGCTGGCACAGAGGATCAGACCCTTCCCTGTGCCAAGTGCTGTCCCCAACAACCAGGCCAGCCTGGGAGGGAGATGGATTCCCTGGACAGTGGACAGAGCCCAGGAGAGACAGGCCAACCCCAGCACCTGGAGCCCAGGGAGCTCACCAGCCCTCCACCAATAACCATAAGGCAGGGGCCTCCAACCGAGCTGGCCAAACTCTGGGCTCTCAATCAAGGGCCAATGCCCACATGCTTGCCCTGTCCCAGCTGAGGTGCCATGCTGCCAGGAGAACGCAGTTCACGTTTGCAGGAAACCCACACGCCACACACCCCACATACACACACGTCCAGCTTCCTAAGTGTGTACACTCCAAGGGAAGAAGAAAAGCAGACACACAGAGTGAGCCCCGCCGGTGGGGGAGAGGTGCGCACACAAACACCCCCCGCCCCCCCCCCCGCAGTCCATTTTCCGTCAACACCAATTCAGAGACCACACATGGCAGCCAGGAAAGCCGCAGGTTAGGAAAGGAACATAAATATACCCGCATCCTATATTACATAAATACCCATGCCGGGTTATATAAATACCCGTGCCCTCTGTCTGGGTGTCTTACATAAATATACTGCACATGACCCCCCAGTCTCTCCCCACTCACCGGCTGCTTGCAGAGAAGAGAAGTGAGGGGAGCAAGCCCTTCAGGACCCCCTGACTGCTCTGTGCCAGACACCCAAACCCCCAGTCCCTCCTCAGCACCCCAGGGGCCCAAGGTCCCTGGGGGAGCCTCCACTGTCCCAGCACCAACCCCCAAAAAGCCTCCCGGAGGAGAGCAGAAAGGCTTCATTCAGGAATGGGAGCGGCTTTCCAGTTCTTTTGCTGCTTCTCCCATGGGGGAGGGGAGAGATAAACAAAGTGGGGGGAAAAAGTGGATATGAAGGTTCAGGAGTTTCAGCCGGTTAAAAAGATTAGACAAACTACCAACCAGCAAGGCACACGGGCAGTGCTTCCTACTCCCCGACCACCGCCGCCTACCCCTGAGCCGGGGCCCTTGTCCCTGGGCGATTAAAATAAAAACTGAAGGGACATCGGAGAAACGAAGGCAAAGGGGACCCAGACACAGGCATTGGGTGAAGCAACTTGAGACACTGTGTCCCCTTCGCCTCTCCCCACATCCTTCTCTAGGAAGGAGACGATGCCAAGAAGAAAATATGTAGGAAAACTAAGGGAAAAGCTGGGGAGGGGGCTTACCCCACTTCGAGTTTCGGTATGAAGGAGAGCTTGGGAATCTTCTCTCTAACGATCCCCAGCCAGTTTTCTGTTCCTTAGAGACTTGCAAAACATGAATCTCTCACACACAAAAACGGGAGAATCCGATCCGATACATAACCCCCACCTCTTTCTTTCTCTCCACAAAGGAAAACAAAATCGGGGGCCGGGTGACCACACACCTCTTCACCTTAGGACCCCCAAATGCCCGCCACCCAACGTGCGGTTGCAGCCTTGCTGACCCCCAGGTCCGGGCACCGGGGCCAGGCGAGCAGGGGGCGCCGCTGATTGTCCGAGGAAGCCTACGCGAGCCCGAATCAACAGTATCTGGCGCCCAGCACCCCCGGCCCCCTCCTTCCGCGTCCCCAAATCACAGTCGGAGTGGCCGCCTGGCCGGCCGGGGCCTCGGAAGGTTCAGCGTGAGGGAGGCGGAGGCGGGCCGGCGGGGGAGCTCCCCCGCGAGCCCGCAAGATAACAGGCCCCCTCCTCCCAGTCCCCAGCCGCGCCTTTGTCCTCGCCAGGCCGAGCGAGCGGGCGGCGCCCGGGCTGCCCCCCCACCACCCCAGCACGAACGCGCGTGTCCCCTCCCTCCCCTCTCTCCCTCTCCAGCAAAAACAAAGAGGCTGAGGGAGCCCCGATTCCCCCCGGATTTGCGCCCCTCCGCGTGCCCGCGGCCCCCCAATATTTACCCCGCCGGGAAGGCGCCGGTGCCGGGCCGCTGCTCTGGGGGCTGCCGCGGGCGGGGGCGGCCCGCCGGGGCGGATGCCGGAGGATTCGCGGAGCCGCCCGGCGCGCCAGCCTCTCCCGGCCCAGCCGCCGCCGCCGCTGCCGCCGCGCTCCGCTCGGCCCCAGCCGGGCTCTGGCTCTGGGCTCTCGCCGCCGCCGCCGCCGCCTCCCTCCTCCCGGCCTGCCGTCCGTCCGCCCGCCCCCGCCGCCGGCTTGCGCGCTCTCGCCCCGCGCGCGCCCGCCGGCTCCCATTGAGCCCCGGGCCCGCCCGCTGATGTCATCCCCGGCCCGCCGCCGCCGCCGCCCCGGAGGATTTAAAGGGCCCGTGCCCAGCGCGCTGGGGGTTGCTGGGGGTCGCAGCCGCGAAACGCAGTCCCCCAACCCCTGTGCAGGCGCACGGGTTTTCGCGTGGGAGTGGGGGCACGCACGGGCAGTGACACCCTGATGCAGTCCAGGGCACAGGTGGAAAAGACTGAGTGGGGGGACAGAGAGGAAGAGGAGGGTGCACAAAAAGCGGGGGTGAGGGGAGGGGAAGGGGAGGGTCTAGACCCAAAGCCTCCCCTCCCGGCCTGCCGGGTTCTCTCTCCTCTCCGGGCAGAGCAGTGGGCAGACAGGCGGATATTCACGACACTGCACAAGTTGTTAGACAGCTGGGGGCTCAGTCCGCCTCCAGGTTCCGAGTGCCGCAGAGAACACAGGCCAGGTTGATTCAAGGCGAGAGATCCGAGGAGCAGCTAGGGAGGTCCACACAAGGCCCAGGCATTTTCCCATGGAAAACATCAAGGGCAAAGACCTTTTCTCCTCCTCCTCCTCCCTGCAGCTCAAACTGGGATTGGCACAGAGGGGACCCTCAGACCCTAACCTCATTCTTCCCTGTTGAAGGAGGGGTGCCACACTACCACACCACCGGCACTTGAGTCAGGGTTCCGAGTGGTGCACGGTTGGCCAAGTCATCTCCCAGCTCTGAGGTTGAGTTTCCTAAAACAGCAAAAGGGAGGAGGGACCCTGTCGTCCCCAGGTCACGGGGAGAATTAATGAAAGCTTCTACCGGGTTCCAGAGCAGCCGATGAAAGGCTGCAAGTCATTAAAGCGATGATATTTACACTGTGCCATGCAAAGCTTTCAATTATGACACACCGATATTCACACGGTTGTGACTGTGGACAGGCAAAACGCCTGAGCCCCTGCATCCAATCCCGGAAGCACAGTTCCTGGGAGGAGTCACTTCCATAATAACCATATCTTCCCTCGAGCCTGAGGGACTGAGTCACACGCTTGCCCAAACGGGCAGGAGCCTCACAGACTAGGCCCTTTCATCCGCCAGGAAGCTGGCCCAGAGAGGGGAAGGGGTTTGCCCAGGACCATACAGCCCAACAGGACCGCTCTGTTCTCCCAGTACTGCCTTAGCCTACTGAGTAGCTGGGACTATATGCGTTCACCACCATATCAGGCTAATTTTGTTGGTTGTTTTGTAGAGACAGGGTTTCTATGTTGCCCTGATGGGGTCACTATGTTGTCTGGGCTGGTCTCAAACTCCTGACCTCAAGCAATCCTCCCCGCTAGGCCTCCCAAAGTGCTGAGATTGAAGGGTGAGCCACCACAGCTGGCACCCCGCGACTGTTTTCAGCTGGAAAGACTGAGGCCCAACAAGGGAATGAGCCTTGTTCAAGGTCACAGGGAGCATGTGACAGCAGCCTCCATGGCTAAAAAGCTAGCTTCAAATAGTATTCTGTGGCCAGGCACAGCGGCTCACGCCTATCATCCCAGCACTTTGTGAGGCCAAGGCGGGCAGATTGAGCTCAGGAGTTTGAGACCAGCCTGGCCAACATGGTGAAACCTCGTCTGTACTCAAAATACAAAAAAAATTAGCCTGGCATGGTGGCGAGTGCCTGTCCCAGCTACTCAGGAGGCTGAGGCAGGAGAATTCCTTGAATCCAGGAGGCAGAGGTTGCAGTGAGCTGAGATTGCACCACTGCGCTCCAGCCTGGGTGATAGAGTGAGACTCTGTCTCAAAAAAAAAAAAAAAAGCTAAAACCAGAAATAGTGTTCTGCTACTTTTTAACAAGTGTCACAGTAGGCATTTCCTAAAACTCAGAGTCTCATTTGTAAAGTGAGGATTAATATAAATCATAAAAACAATGTAGCCCAGAAGCAGCCCTGAGTAAGAGGAAGTTGCTTATACTACAAGGTTACCATTCTCAGGAGGAGCAGAGTTCAGTGCAGGGCTCCTGATTTGGGCTCCTCCAAGCTCCTGAGCACTGCTGGCTATATCCCCCACCTCTCCTTTCCTTTCTTCACCCTTCCTCTGGAGAGGCCACCACCAGCCCCTTCTAAGGTGGTAGTGAGTGGGAGATATGCAAACCCAGTTGGACCCCAGGGAGCCACTAGACTTGCCCATCTTGGTCTTAGCCCTCGAAGGCCCCGATGGGAAGCTTCTCAGGGTCCTTCCCTCTCAGGCCCTGCTCATGGAGGGTCCGTGGCCCACAGGCTTCAGAGGCCCCCTGGCCCCCAGCCCTGCCAGCCTGAAAATGCTGTCCTGGGGCATTCTCCTCTCCTCACCCAGCCAGGCCTCGGCTCTTTGTCCCCACACCCTTTCATGACGTTCTGCCCACCCCCAACTGCTCCCAGGGCACAGCTTTGGCCCTGGGCTCTCTTTTCAGGCACTTCTCCCAGGGAACCTCACCGCTGGGGCATCCCTGGTCAGGTCACTCCTGGCAGGGCTTCCTCCCTCCTCTTCCATCTTCAGCGGAGAGGCAGCAGGGCAGGGTATCTAGGTCTGGGTTGGGTCCCCCATCAGTCTGAGTTTTAGTGTGACCTTGGGGAAGGAAACCACAGCCCTTCTCCGAGGGGTGGTGGGGGGGGCACTGATAAAGAGAGTTCTGAAGCTCTCAGTGTCCCCAGCTGAAGCTAAGGGCAAGACTGGAGGGGCGTGGCCTCTACTGTCCACATCCAGGGCACTAGGCTGACAAAGACCCTGAGGCGACAAATCTGGGCTCAGTGGGAAACAGCTCCCCCTCAACCCCTCACCCCAGAATCAACACCTGAGCAGCTCACGTGAGCCCCACTTCCCAAATGGATTCTGAACCTAGCCACTCCCACCGCACATGCCTTCCACTCAGACCCTGCAGTGACCTGTTAACCACTGAGATGTGACCTCAGCCACTGAAAAATACACCGGTGGTTGGCCGGGCGCGGTGGCTCACGCCTGTAATCCCAGCACTTTGGGAGGCCGAGGCGGGTGGATCACGAGGTCAAGAGATCGAGACCATCCTGGTCAACATGGTGAAACCCCGTCTCTACT